ATAATGATGATGATGATAATGATGATGATGATAATGATGGTGATGATAATGATGATGATGATGATTATGGTGATAATGATGATGATAATGGTAGTGATAATTACTATTGTCGTGTTGCTAATAAAATCATCACGATTATAGAAGTGGCATAATAGAAATAATTTTTCCCCAGAAAAAATCATTGATACACACCACCCTTATCGTTTCATTCATAACATATTTAAAAATGGACTCCTACTTCTCTATTCCTTCTTCTGATCAGCCAGCCATTGCTGCTGTAAATTTTCCACTTTTTCGCTTCACTGAATTCTCCCACGGTTCGTTTTACAATTGCTGTAGAATTTGCAATGAGTATAAGAAAAATAAGTAGTAATCGGAGGACCAAATTAGTTTTCAATGCAAAAAAAAAAAGTTCGATAACTGTTGCGGTATTTCTTCAGTAGATGGAGCGGAAGTATGAATCATTGCAATCGTATAACACAAATTGACACACTCATTGAAATGAATATAATACATGGTATATTTATATTAATACACTTAGCTTTGTATTCACTGAAGCATTCCAGAATTTTCCCTACGTGTAGATTTTCTTGAAGAATCGTATTTGTTAAACATTGGATTAATTGTAATTGTGATTATAAATCATTTCTGGATTAAAATTTGCAAAATTTGCAGTTTGCAGTAACAGAGTTAGGCTAAGGAAATTTTTTTATATCAGTGCTTATTGCATTGAATATTTTGAATATGGTCGTTTCTGTAGCACCAGACGTCGGATAGAATCAATAGGATATCAAAAATGGATGTATGTGAAAGTTTGTAAACTGATACCAATGGATAGGGCAATAGGAAAGTATATATAAAAAGGATGGAGGACTTCAAAAGGTAAAACGATCAAGTTCAAAAGTAAAAAGAGAAGAATCCTAGTCTTCTCCCTCTGTCGGTATCATCAGATACAATATATAGTAAGCTCGTTCGTGAAAAACAATTTTGGGATTAACTATCCGACCGGCACATATCTCATCAAATATATTGCTTAACATTGCGGTACGATGTCATAGTTGATGTGGCATCACTGAATGATTCTTTAGATCACCAAACAAACAAATGTTAACAGTTAAGAACGATAATAAGAAAAACAGCAATAATAATACAATGCACTGCAGTCTTTTATTGCACGATATATTCATTCGATATTTTCTACCAGTAGCATTATTTCGCATTCAATTCCGTTCTCATAATATTAAATTTTTAATTTTAAGCCTTTTTTTAATTATGTAAAAGCGAAACGAGACGCAAAGTTTTCATGGAAAAAGTATAAAGGTGGTTAGAGAGTAAAATGGAGAGTACCGGCAATAAGCTAAACGTCTCTGGTATGGATATGTTGCTGCTTCAATCTGATAAGCATCATTATCCTTATTTGTTTGGAATAGTCACCAAATCTCCTACTTTTGAAGCTTATTTTTGCCGACTTGTTCCTTTTATGAGCTTCATCAACTCATTCCTCTCCTTCTTTTTAACAGCAATTTATTTATTCTTCTTATTTTGACTTCTTTAATGAGCAGTGCTTTTTAGACATTTTTTTTTCTTCACATAGTTACGAGACAATTTTATTGACCTCATTTGACATTTGTGAAATTTTTCTTTGTCAGAAAAAAAAACATTCATCAAATTTTAGCTTCCTTGACACTTTCTACATTACAAAGTATCTTGACAGCTTGTTGATATTGAGTGCAATGAAATATTGATAAAAGTTGAAATGATCTTTGGTTTACACTGTTATGCTCTACCAAGTTACCTGCTAAACGAAATGAACAAGATTCATTATCATCATGAAATATTTGAA